ATCCTTCATCCTTCATCCTCCATCCTCCATCCTCCATCCTCCACCCCCCATCCTCCATCCTCCATCCTCCATCCTTCATCCTCCATCCTCCATCCTCCATCCTCCATCCTCCATCCTCCATCCTCCATCTTCCATCCTCCATCCTTCATCCTCCATCCTCCATCCTCCATCTTTGATCCTCAATCCTCCATACCCCATCCACCATCCTCCAGCCTCCATCCTTCATCCTCCATCCTCCATCCTCCATCCAAAATCCTCCATACTCTATCCTCCATCCTCCAACCTCCATCCTCGATCCTCCATCCTCCAACCTCCATCCTTCATCCTCCATCCTCCTTCCTCCATCCTTCATCCTTCATCCTCCATCCTCCATCCTCCATCCTCCACCCCCCATCCTCCATCCTCCATCCTCCATCCCCCATCCTCCATCCTCCATCCTCCATCCTCCATCCTCCATCCTTCATCCTCCATCCTCCATCCTCCTTCTTCGATCCTCCATCCTCCATCCTCCAACCTCCATCCTCCATCTTCGATCCTCCATCCTCCATCCTCCAGCCTCCATCCTCCATCCTTCATCCTCCATCCTCCATCTTCGATCCTCCATCCTCCATCAACCATCCTCCATCCTCCATCCTCCATCCTTCATCCTCCATCCTCCATCCTCCATCTTCGATCCTCCATCCTCCATCAACCATCCTCCATCCTCCATCCTCCAACCTCCATCCTCCATCCTCCATCAACCATCCTCCATCCTCCATCCTCCAACCTCCATCCTCCATCCTCCATCCTCCATCCTTCATCCTCCATCCTCCATCCTCCATCCTTCATCCTCCATCCTCCATCCTCCATTCTCCATCCTTCATCCTCCATCCTCCATCTTCGATCCTCCATCCTCCATCCTCCATCCTCCATCTTCGATCCTCCATCCTCAATCCTCCATCCTCCATCCTCCATTTTCCATCCTCCATCCTCCATCCTTCATCCTTCATCCTCCATCCTCCATCCTCCAACCTTCATCCTCCATCCTTCATCCTCCATCCTCCATCCTCCATCCTCGATCCTCGATCCTCCATCCTCGATCCTCCATCCTCCATTCTCCATCCTCCATCCTTCATCCTTCATCCTCCATCCTCTATCCTCTATCCTCCATCCTCCATTCTTCATCCTTCATCCTCAATCCTCCATCCTCCATCCTCCATTTTCCATCCTCCATCCTCCATCCTTCATCCTCCATCCTCCATCCTCCATCCTCCATCCTCCATCCTTCATCCTCCATCCTCCATCCTCCATCTTCGATCCTCCATCCTCCATCCTCCATCCTCCATCCTCCGTCCTTCATCCTCCATCCTCCATATTCCAACCTCCATCCTCCATCCTCCATCCTCCATCCTTCATCTTTCATCCTCCATCCTCCATCTTCGATCCTCCATCCTCCATCCCCCATCCTCCATCCACCATCCTCCATACCCCATCAACCATCCTCCAGCCATTCTTTATCCTCCACCTGTCATTCTCCATTTCGATTCTCCATCCTCTGTTTTCCATTCTCCACCCGCCATTCTCCATCCTCCTTCCTCCTTCCTCCTTCCTCCATCCTCCATCCTCCATCCTCCATCCTCCATCCTCCATCCACGATCCTCCATCCTCAATCCTTCATCTTCCATTCTCCATCCTCCATCCTTCACCCTCCATCCTCCATCTTCCATCCTCAATCCTTCATCCTCAATCCTCCATCCTCCATCATTGATCCTCCATCCTCCATCCTCCATCCTCCATCCTCCAGCCTCTAGCCTCTTTCCTCCATCCTCCATCCTCCCTCCTCCATCCTTCATCCTCCATCCTCCATCCTCCATCCTCCATCCTCCATCCTTCATCCTCCATCCTCCATCTTCCATCCTCCATCCTCCATCTTCCATCCTCCATCCTCCAACCTCCATCCTCCATCTTCCATCCTCCATCCTTCATCCTCCATCCTCCATCCTCCATCCTCCATCCTCCATCCTCCATCCTCCATCCTTCATCCTCCATCCTCCATCCTCCATCTTTGATCCTCAATTCTCCATACCCCATCCACCATCCTCCAGCCTCCATCCTTCATCCTCCATCCTCCATCCTCCATCCACAATCCTCCATTCTCTATCCTCCATCCTCCAACCTCCATCCTCGATCCTCCATCCTCCAACCTCCATTCTTTATCCTCCATCCTCCTTCCTCCATCCTTCATCCTTCATCCTCCATCCTCCATCCTCCATCCTCCACCCCCCATCCTCCATCCTCCATCCTCCATCCTTCATCCTCCATCCTCCATCCTCCATCCTCCATACTCCATCCTCCATCCTCTATCCTCCATCTTCCATCCTCCATCCTTCATCCTCCATCCTCCAACCTCCATCCTTCATCCTCCATCCTCCTTCCTCCATCCTTCATCCTTCATCCTCCATCCTCCATCCTCCATCCTCCACCCCCCCATCCTCCATCCTCCATCCTCCATCCCCCATCCTCCATCCTCCATCCTCCATCATCCATCCTCCATCCTTCATCCTCCATCCTCCATCCTCCATCTTCGATCCTCCATCCTCCATCCTCCAGCCTCCAGCCTCCAGCCTCCATCCTCCATCCTTCATCCTCCATCTTCCATCCTCCATCCTCCATCCTTCATCCTCCACCTCCATCCTCCATCCTTCATCCTTCATCCTCCATCCTCCATCCTCCATCCTCCATCCTCCATCCCCCATCCTCCATCCTCCATCCTCCATCCCCCATCCTCCATCCTCCATCCTCCATCCTCCATCCTTCATCCTCCATCCTCCATCCTCTATCTTCGATCCTCCATCATCCATCCTCCATCCTCCATCCTCCAGCCTCCAGCCTCCAACCTCCATCCTCCATCCTTCATCCTCCATCTTCGATCCTCCATCCTCCATCCTCCAACCTCCATCCTCCATCCTCCATCCTCCGTCCTTCATCCTCCATCCTCCATCCTCCATCTTCGATCCTCCATCCTCCATCCTCCAGCCTCCAGCCTCCATCCTTCATCCTCCATCCTCCATCCTCCATCCTCCATCCTCCACCCTCCATCCTCCATCCTTCATCCTCCATCCTCCATCCTCCATCTTCGATCCTCCATCCTCCATCCTCCAGCCTCCATCCTCCATCCTTCATCCTCCATCCTCCATCTTCGATCCTCCATCCTCCATCAACCATTCTCCATCCTCCATCCTCCATCCTCCATCCTTCATCCTCCATCCTCCATCCTCCATCTTCGATCCTCCATCCTCCATCAACCATCCTCCATCCTCCATCCTCCAACCTCAAACCTCCATCCTCCATCCTCCATCTTCGATCCTCCATCCTCCATCAACCATCCTTCATCCTCCATCCTCCATCCTCCATCTTCGATCCTCTATCCTCCATCAACCATCCTCCATCCTCCATCCTCCATCAACCATCCTCCATCCTCCATCCTCCAACCTCCATCATCCATCCTCCATCCTCCATCCTTCATCCTCCATCCTCCATCCTCCATCCTTCATCCTCCATCCTCCATCCTCCATCCTCCATCCTCCATCCTCCATCCTCCATCCTCCATCCTTCATCCTTCATCCTCCATCCTCCATCTTCGATCCTCCATCCTCCATCCTCCATCCCCCATCCTCCATCCACCATCCTCCATACCCCATCAACCATCCTCCAGCCTCCAGCCTTCATCCTCCATCCTCCATCCTCCATCCTCCATCCTCCATCCTCCATCCTCGATCCTCGATCCTCCAACCTCCATCCTCCATCCTCCATTCTCCATCCTCCATCCTCCATCCTCCAACCTCCATCCTCCATCCTCCATCCTCCATCCTCCATCCTCCATCCTCGATCCTCCATCCTCTATCCTCCATCCTCCATCCTCTATCCTCCATTCTCCATCCTTCATCCTCAATCCTCCATCCTCCATCCTCCATTTTCCATCCTCCATCCTCCATCCTTCATCCTTCATCCTTCATCCTCCATCCTCCATCCTCCAACCTTCATCCTCCATCCTTCATCCTCCATCCTCCATCCTCCATCCTCGATCCTCGATCCTCCATCCTCGATCCTCCATCCTCCATTCTCCATCCTCCATCCTTCATCCTTCATCCTCCATCCTCTATCCTCTATCCTCCATCCTCCATTCTTCATCCTTCATCCTCAATCCTCCATCCTCCATCCTCCATTTTCCTATCCTCCATCCTCCATCCTTCATCCTCCATCCTCCATCCTCCATCCTTCATCCTCCATCCTTCATCCTCCATCTTCCATCCACCATCCTCCACCCTCGATCCTCCATCCTAACCCTAACCCTTACCTATGTAATTTTTAAAATACGAGCAAATGAGTAATATGAATTTGTACTCAGTTCAATATTGATGAAACTACAAATCCGATCTGCCACCTGCATGAAACATTTGTGTGTGCCTGTAAATCTACATCCCATCTACATGTCACGAAAACATTGCCAAAATAGCCCCGCGTTTTTCCACACACACAAGTATAGTTAGGTGTTGGGCCTTGAGCCCAGCACCTATTGATTTTGTAAGAGTTTACTATTTTTGTTCTTCTCAGCAGATTCCCAGCAAATCCTTCTCCGGAATTGTTTGGAAAAATGGAAACGTATATGAACTTCATTTGTCAATACATGAATGCCCAATCCACTGCAGATATGGTTTTGTGCAATTACGTCATCATGACGTCATCATGGGTCACATGACGTCGCTTGAAAGTTTAATAAATTTAATAAATTTTAATTAACAGCTGCTAATGATTAAAATAAAATAAAGTTGTTAATAAAAAAAAAAGTTTGCTAGGTAGGTTGAAATATATTATCACGCTTTAAGGTCATCTGCCCAGGGAGTGCGTCAGAATTATGAAAGCATAGGTTTCTCATGTTACAATGACGGGAGAAAAAAGGGACGCCAAAATTTATAGAATGGCCATTACAATTACAATCATTTGCCTTGGATCGCCCTCAG